GCTACATCTGTGCAGGGGTTCTAGGTTATCTCCATGAATAGTCCTTGGTTGGAGTATGAGTCTTTGGGAAGTTCCCTGTGTTCAAATTTTCTTGTTCTGTTGCTCTCCTTGTGGAGTTCCTGTCCTCTCTAGCTCTTGCTATTTCCCACTTCTTACATAAAATTCCATTCACTCTGCCCGCCAGTTGGCCATCAGGCTCAGCATCTGTTTTGATAGTCTGCAGAGCAGAGGCTTTCAGATGCCCTCTGTGGCAGGTTCCTAGGTTGTTTCCTGTTTTCTTCTTCTTCTGATGTCCATCCTCTTTGCCTTTCAGGATGGGGATTGAGCGTTTTAGTTAGGGTCCTCTCTTTTGCTTAGTTTGTTTAGACATACCGATTTTAGTGGGTTTATCCTATGTTGTATGTTTATATGAGTGAGTATATACCGTGTGTGTCTTTTTGCTTCTAGGACAACTCACTCAGGATGATTCTTTCCAGGTCCCACCATTTACCTGCAAATTTCATGATTTCCTTATTTTTCATTGCTGAGTAATACTCCATTGTATAGATGTACCACAATTTCTGCATCCATTCTTCAGTTGAGGGGCATCTGGGCTGTTTCCAGCTTCTGGCTATTACAAATAAAGCAGCTACAAACATTGTTGAGCAAATGTCCTTTTTGTGTACTTGAGCCTCTTTTGGATATATGCCTAGGAGTGGTATGGCTGGATCTTGAGGAAGCGCTATTCCTAGTTGTCTGAGAAAGCGCCAGATTGATTTCCAGAGTGGTTGTACAAGTTTACATTCCCACCAGCAGTGGAGGAGGGTTCCCCTTTCTCCACAACCTCTCCAGCATGTGTTGTCACTTGAGTTTTTCATCTTGGCCATTCTGATGGGTGTAAGGTGTTGTTGTTCTTAATAAGATTTATTTTTATTATCTGTCTATGAGAATTTGCTTGCATGTGCATGTGAACCATGTCTGGTGCCCTCAAAGGACAGAAGCGGGCATTATTTCCCTGGAACATCATACCAAGGCCAGGGAAAGAACTACTAAAAGTCAATATACAGTCTAGAGCTATAGAAGTTTCCTGTGCTGCACCACCCTTTTCTTTCCACAGAAAACAAACATACCGACTTTGGGCCATGCTCTCTTTGCTCTCTCTGCATTCTTACTGGCTCTATTGCTTGTCCATGTGACTCTGCCTCAGCCTCTGAGTTATTGTCCTAAGCCTTAAGTCTGAAATGCTCCCAGAATAGGAGCATTAAGTTTCTTGCCATCTTGGCTCACACAGACTGCAGTGTAGCAGAGAAACTTGATTCAAAGTAAAGAGATAGTACAAATTGGAATAGGCCATCAAGAGTGACAGCTGGCCACCTGATGAGAATACTGAGGGACATTGTTTGTTTGGGTCTTCCTTTTCTGTAGTCCAAGAAAAGGGAGAGTTTTGTTGCTAAGAGTATAGCTTGGTGTTTTTCCTTTGGTTCACAGGCTTGGATATCATGAGTCTTTGATACACTATGTGTATCCCTTCCCACAATCCATTTCATTTTAGACATATACATGAATTATGCATAAATAAGATGGTAAGTAGAAGATTCTCTCTAAAAGTTCTCTTAGAGGACACAGGTTGTCTTATTGTGCATACCACTCCAAACCAATCTAGACTGGACCAGCTCTCTACCTTGCTCTAACTAAAGCATGACTGAATGTGAAAATATATATATGTTTGGTGGTCATTAAGGGGAGGAAAAACTCATTCCATTGTCTGATGTGAGCTGTGCATGCAGCTGGGGTTTTTAGGTTGCTAGGCATATTGCTCAGTGAGATGTGTGGGCAGTCAAGCCAAGTGACTGCTAAGCCATTTCTTATGCTAGCCCCATAACATGTCTCCATGTTGTAAGCCAGATATAATTCATTCTAAAGAGCGAGTCCCGCTCTCAAAAGTGTCATAAGCTACACCATGCTTCAATAGTTTCTTCTTCTTCTTCCTTAGTGGTGGGGTATGTGCTTCTTAACCTCACATTGATGGTCTCTTCCAAAAATGACCTCTGAGCAATCAGGATTCTCTCAGCAATGCAGAGGTAGGTCACTGGGCATGTAGAAAGTGCTTTATACAAATTTGGTTATTTATTCTACCTGTTAAGCTGTGATGCCTGGGACCCACAGAATGATCAATGTGGAGAAATATACCTCATGGTACAAAACAAGCTTTTACATTTTGGTGGTAACAATGGTTGTCTAATCCGATTTAGGGCCTGGTCAGCAGGAGGGAAATCATAGCCAAACACCTATGGCTAGTGAGGTTTAGATCTTAGAGGAAGACCTCATTCCTAAACAGCATAATTCTCAAGTACATTCTAGTTCTACGTATCTGTCATTATACCCATGGATAAGTATAGCTCTCCCCAGTCATCAAAAGGGCTTCTTTCCCAGAGGCCATTGCAGAAGTCACATGTAGTCAAAATGCACAGAACAACTTGACTGTGGGTTGCCCAGCTTCAGTTGATGTATTCACAAACAAGCTCTACATCTAAGGCTCAGGGACCATCAAAGAGGATGGTGCAGAAAGATGGCCAGGAAGAGGAGGACCAGGAAGTCTGCTGCAAGAGTGTGTCTTCTAGACATGACCAGGATGCCACACACATGAAATCTCAACAATGTGGCTGCTTAAATAAGACCTGAAGAATGACAGCACCAGCTGACATGCTAACATAGGTGGAGAACCTTGTGCAGGGCCCCACCCCTAGATGAAGAGCTACAGACCATTAAAGACTGCTAAAAAGATGGAGAAGCAGTCTTCTCCAGGGGAGAGCCCTTCAATGATAATTCAGTCCCGAGTGATGAACCCTAAAAATACACACACAAGTAACACTAAACAGACCCAATAAGTAACTGAGTATTTATATGCATGTGTGTGTGTATATATATATATATATATATACATAGAAACACGCATATGTGTGTGTTTGTGTGTAAAATCAAGAAATTTTAAGGAAGTGGAAGTGTGAAAGAGGGGTTGGAGGGAAGACAGGTGAATAATATAATTATATTTTAATTAACTAAAAAAACCCCTAAAATTACAAAAGGTGTGAAACTATGGTATCTTTTGCCTTTGGCAGAAAAAGAAATAGAGAAGAAAAAAGGGCCCAGAGGAAATTAAAGCATTCTTCAGGATTGTTGCACCAACAATACCCTGAAAGATGTTGACTTGTCAAGTCATCCTCATGACATAATAGAAAAAAAAAACCCTCTTTGAGCCAAGCTGGTGCCGCAACACTGAAAATCAGATTGAACAACTCAGCCGTCAGCTGAGGTGAATAACTATCCTTTGTGGCAGTGTGTTAGGATTCTGTGTGTTTAGAAACCTTCAATACTACTTTCTACAACAGATTTTTAGTGTTTTGTTTTGTCCCCCAAATTTCTAGTTAGTATTATAGTTTGGTTGATTCTGGCATTTACTGTTGCAGATCAACCAAGTCTATTCTTGGAGGTTTTCTTCATACAGGAGTTCCTAATTAATTCATGTGTAAAACCTGGTGAAATGTGTACTCCGTGTGAGCTCCGTGTGCCTCCTTAGTTACCGTTTGAAAAGTGGCCAGCCTTGAACTCATCTGGTGGAAACATCTGGTTCAGACAAAGGGAAGTGTCTATTGGGAAAGGGCCAAGCACCTGGAGTGATAAGGGGAAAGGGAAGGGAGGTGCGCCCAGGGAGGTAAGCCCAGGAGGATGGTAAGGGCTGCTTCACCAGGTCCGGCTTTCATCTTCTGGAAAGTTCCTGCTCTGAGGGTGTAATCGATAACAAGAGGTGGGTCAATGACGGGAGCGTGACTGAGAAGCCACCCCCCTTGTTGTTATAAGTGGGTTGGGAATGTGTACAATCAGCTCTTCGGTAAAAGGTTCTAGAGCTGAGATGGCCAGGGCAAGGGGAAAAATAAAACCAAAACCAATCACTTCTAAGGATGTGAAAAATGGCCTGCCTAGGGGAAGCTGGGCAGGAAAATGGGAAGAAATAAATAAACACTGTGAAGAGGCAGGTAGGGATGTCGGGTAGGAACATGGGGAGGAATAAATAAGCATTGTGAAGAGCACATGATCTTGGCGATTCCGTGCTCAGAACCTTTGCACTTTCTGTGAACATATGAAAGCCTCCAAATGAGACCAAATGCACAGGAATTCGTTTATGAGAAGGAGCTGGCAATCAGTGACCACATCCTTCCGCATCTTGGTTGGCTGGTCCAAAGAAAGGTTTGAATTTCTCCTACTTCCAGTTTTACCATTTTGACGATGTGCACAGTTTAACACCAAACCAGCTTGGAAAGCTGAGCTTGTCAACAATAGATAACCTGGGGCGATTTCCAGCCTTTGTATTTGTGATAGCAATGCTGTTTTGGGTACTTGCTGTGGAAATGCTTGAGGATGCCCAGAAATGTGCCTGTGAGATTGGCAAGGAAGGTGACTTAAAATTGAGGTGAGGACACCTGACGACACAGTGCACCTTCCTAGGAGGTTGGTGCTGCACCGGCTCTGAGCACACCATTTGCATATACACAAAGGGACTGATGAGCCGTAGCTGGTCCACGGGTAAGCCGGCTGCGAGTGCTGGGTGTCGGAAGGATGGGGCCAGTGGTAACAAGAATCAATATATATATATTTACTATGGGGGCGAGGAGGAGGGTGCGGGTGCGTGAGGCTGCAGGGCGGAGCAGAGCTACAGAGAGCAAGCCTGGCTCCTGGTTGGTTCTCAAGTCTGGTTCCCACAGAGGAGCAGGCAGGCAGGGAGGGGATGCGGGAGGGAGGATAAAGCAATAAAGTGTGCCGCGTCGCCACGCACGGGGAGCCCTTGCTCGAGCCGCAACACCACGCGCCTCTGACCCAGAAGGCCCCCTCCCGGCTCGCTCGCACAGGTTCACCAGCCCGCGAGCCGCTCCAGCCGGTGGCTCTGACAGCAGCTGGCTCAGGCTACCCGGCAGCAAGAGCAAGGCAGGAGACGCTGGTCGCCCTCAGACCAGGTCCTCAATGCCTGGCACCTTCGCAAGCCACGTGCGACCCCCGGTTCTAATCTGTGTGCGGACCAGAGCATGATCTGTGCCCAGTCGGAGGCTGCCAAGGTAAGCAGACGCCGCGCTCAGACCACCAGCCTCCCTCCCCGCCCCCCTTCTGGGGCGGCTGCCTCACCCCTGTGGAGCCCCTGCAGCGCCCTCCCTCCTAAGAGCGGGGATCCACCCTTTTGCCCACCCTCTCTCTTCTCCCGCGAGGTTCAATTGTTGGCTCCGGGCGGGTCGCCGCCCAGGCCGGCTGGCATCCCGAAGCTTGGGTACGGGAGGCTGACCCGGCCCTCCGGAGGGCCCCGGAGAGAAACAAAGAAGCCCCCAAACGGGTTCGCAGCGCCTCCTCCGCCCCTGGGCGCCCTCCCAGTGGCTAGGAGATGCCAGGGGAGGGGGCGGAGAGACCTACGTAATCCCCCTTCCCAGCCCACACCCACTCCTTGTGAACCCAGGCTTGCAGACAATTGTGGCCCCTGGTCTCCGCTCCAACTCTCTGTGCTCGCTCAGGGGCTCCTGCAGCCGGCGGCCAGGTGCATTCCCCTGGGTGGTGACTGGCTGGGAAGATGCTCGGTGTGGGTGTTCCCTTTCCCTGGCTGGCTGTGCCATTCAGCTGGGCCTGCCACCTGAGTTTCAGCGGGAGCAGCTGGTCTTTTCGCCCACCCTACTGCTACCAGCACATAGGCGGGAAGAGGGGCAGGGGTAGTGGGCAGGCGAGGGGGCGCTGGGAAAATTGCATCCGGTCCTTTTTTTTTTTTTTTTTTTGGCTGGAGATCCGACACATTCTCCATACTTTACCAGGCCATGACAATGCAGCAAAATCCTAGAGCTCAAAGTGGCCCTCATCCTCCACCCCAGTGCTTTCTGATAGCCTTGCAGCCTCGATTTCCCAGTCACTGGACTGATTTTGGGAGTGTGGATGTGTGGTCTGGTTCATCCTGTGCACAGAGGCTGGGCAGGGTAACTTCTTCCCTGCCAAATTCAGCGCTTGGGGGTTGGGGGGGAGAGCTGGCAGGGACACAGGCTGCAGAGATGCCCCAGCTTGCTGTGGTTCCGGGCACAGCTAGCCTTAGTCTGCATTGAGCTGACAGCAGATAGCATGCGGGGATTTTCCTAGCTACTGAAGATTTTTTTTTTTTTTTTTTTTTTTTTTTTTTGACGTTGCTGTAGTTTTGGGCTTACTTCTGGGATCTGCAGTGGTGTGAGTCTCCCGTGTTTTCCTTCTTTCTCTGAAAAGATAACTGTGCTGTATTCAGCAGAAGTGGATACAGGAAGAACAGCATAGTTCAAAAAGGGGGGGGGGGGGGGGGGCTCTTTTCCTGGACTTTAAAAGGTGGTTTGGGAGGGTAGGTGCCCTACCTGAAAAGGCCACCCTTAAAAGACCTCAGCGGTGTTGTACTCCAAGGCTTCTCAAAGCAGGTGGCCAGGTCTGCGTTTCTCAACAGTGGGACTCTCCGGCTGTGGCTATCACGGTAATTCACTCTAGCTTGGGGATTTATTTTGAAAATGTGTTTTCCACTAAGAAGGGATTACAATCCAAATGCCTATCCTAATATGAATGTGTGTGTCTGTAGAGACATAGGTTGTGGCAGAACTCCCTGTTACCCGAGTCCTCTGCTTGCTACCTCCTCTGGGCATTGGCAAAATGAAGAACTATTTTAATTCCTAGACCAACAGGCAAATTGGGGTCTGGAGTATTCTTTTTTTATTTTTTAAATAAAACATGTTCTGACAGATCCACGCTAGGACTCCAGTCTAGTGCAGTTGCCTTCTTTGCAGAATTTTTGTGGAGGATAGATTTTCATTAAGACAATTGCCTAAATTTATTCAGATTGTGACATTATTGACGTGGCTCAGGAAGGCCACATCCTGAGCTGGAACAGCGCATCATGCAGAAGCATCATGCAGAAGCACTGACTGCAGCTGCTGTTATTTGTGGATATAGCATCATTCAATCATTCCCTTCACACTCTGGCTTTTAAAGATGGGCCTGTTGAAGCTGTGCCTTCCATGCTTTATAAATGACTATTAATAAAGGGCAGATGTAGTCATTAGAAGAAAACTCTTAGTTTCATTCTTCAAGTGTAAAGTGAGTTGGTCCAGTTAATTCTACTGTTCCTTCTAGTTCCAGCACTCTTTGATCAAGGAGACAAGAAAAGTTAGCCAGGTTAGAAAAGACAAATAATCATAGCCCAAATAATGGAAGCAAACCATGGCTTTATTACAGACCTTGCTATTTTTACATCTTAATTTTTTTTAACTCCAGCATCTGCACTTCTCCTATAAATGAAATTAACTAATGACTTAAAACATATTAACTTTAGTCCACTAGAGAAAGAGGCCTCACAGGGGAGGGAGCTGAGGAGCCGGGAAGAGAGAGGAATGCATTGTGGAACAGGTTCTCTTTAAGATTTAATTGGTCTGACAGCCTCTCCTTTGAGAGGTGAGAATTTACTTTTCCAACTACTGATTTTTGTTTGCTTGTTTCTAATGAAAGAGTGTAGACAGATATTTTTGTCCTGAGCGGTGGCTAGCAATAGCATCAGGTTGACTTTCTCTGTTAAGGTTTGGTATTGTTCATAATTCGTGCTAGCATTTGCTGTTGTTATGATAATGAATGAGGCAATGGTAAACAAAGTGTGTTGTTTACTTCAGTAATTAATAAAAGTTAGACCTGGTGGGGCATTTAATCATTGACTCTAGCTTAGCCATACAGAACACCACTTTCAGGTACTAATTTCCCTAAAAGTTGCAATCAAAATAACATCCTAGAATAATAGTACCTGCCAGGCATAGTTCACCGTTTCTCCTAGAGCCATTTCATCCACACAGCTAAGTTAGAACCCATCACACTGCAGTTACCTAAGTTGTAATGGGTTACATCCCCCTGTTTTAATGTTGGTCTGATAGCTCAGGCCAAGCTCATTACCAGACTCTCCTCACATCTCAGCAGCACACCTCGCACTTTGCCTGGCACCTGAGCTGTGGTGGGCAGTGTTTACTGAATCAGGTCATGGAAATGTTCTGTAATGGTATAGGCAGGAGGTAGGTGGGTATTTTCTGCTTCGTGAGTCAGTTGGAAGAATCAGAGAGGTTACATAAGATGCTTAATGGAAATGGTAAGCAAGGACTCCAATCCAGGCCTTTCAGCAGATGCCTCAGAGGGAGGCTTTACTCCTCTCAAGAAAACAAACAAAACTATGTAGAAAGGACATCAAAATGCTGTAGGGTTGGGTTATTTGCCTATTTTATCTAGTCAGCCACTGCTTTGTTCCATCTTAGCATTGAAGGAAAATTGTTTTGCCCAAATACTCTGTCCTCTAACTTGTACTTAAACGGGAGACCAAGGCATTGCTGCCCCTCTTCCTCAAGCTAGATTCTACTGTCTAGTGCCTGCAAGGATGGCAGACATGTCTAGGAAATGCCATGGACTGACCCGTATTTGTGCAAATCATGTTTGACCACTATATGTTGTATCTCTGAAATGACCCAGCAGTTAGAGACAAACGTATTTCCTGAGCCAGCTTACTTTGATGGAATCTTCATCTAGGCAAATTCCGGAATGGACAGGTAAGATGTACAGACATTGAGACTTGAGGACAAATCACCTTAGGAAACTAGGAAGCCCAGTACCCTGTACTCTTCCTGCACTGAAGCTCTGAGTAGCTTCATTCAAGTAACTTGTCCTCTCTGTGATTTGCTTTCTTCTTTAAAGGTGGAAAGTTTAGATGGACAATGCTACAGTCACTTCGTGACCACAGTTCTGTTTGTTTGTATTTGCTTTATTCTGTTGAGCAAATTGGAAGGTGAAAAATAGTTAATTAATGATCGAATTAACATTTTAAATTTGTGCATATTCTGTGATGAGTGTAGAGTAACTTAAGGCCACTTGTTAGCACATGCAGGCTTTTTTGTAATTTTCTTGAGCCTTCTGTTAACCATGTTCTCTTAAGATACAGTAATTTGTTCCTAATTTTAAAACTAAATGTATTCTGTTAAAGAAAGGAGGTTCCTGACATTTCTTGTTCCTACAGTGAACATCTTTTCCATTGAAAGATGTACAATTTCAGAGATGTTTAGAATATCAGGATTTGCTAGTCAATGGCTTTGCTTTCGTCACCATAGAGGGTGTCTTCTGAGTGATGTATAGTCAAAGGTCTTCCCTGAAATTCACCCAACACTTTCCCTTTTCACTTTCTCTAATTTCCATTTTGCCCTCTCATTTCACTTCAACCTAATCTCCTGAAACAAAACACCTCCCCCATTTTGAATGCACATACTAGAGTTACACTGCCCCCTTCTCGTGGGCAACACCAAGGAAGCTGGCAGAGTCCCATGACTTCCTACTTGTCTTACCCATTTCTGCTTTCTGAGGTTTACTTGTATGCATTCCTTTTCCAAAGTAGGCGAGGTAGAGAGGCAGTCGGAGTCTTGGGGGATGCTGTAGAAGTTAGGCTACTGTGAAGTACACAAACAGTTGGAGTCTTCAAAGACTTTGTGCTACCTCTGTGTTTTCACAGACTTTCAACATCACCCGAAGTATAAATTCCAAGCATTTGTGTCTTTAAAGTCTCTCTTAGATATTTTAGGAAACATAACAGCATGTTGATTTTATATATCCTGTTCGCTTATGCACATACATGGGGTTATTGGTAAGTGGCTATTGTGTTCTATGGCACAGGCACTGGAGGATAAAATGACAAGAGTAGGATGATGATAATGGTGTGGTTATTGAGGAAATACTGTAATGACCACTAGACTTCTAGGTCACTGAGTTTCTATGGCAACAAAACATATGCAATCTGAGCACTGTGTGACCAGCAGTCAGACTTTTTCTTGAGTTACCAGCATGAAGTTGAGTGCACAAAGGACAGAAAAAAATAAAAATACGGTGTGCAGATGGGCTCTGCTGGTGTTATCTATTTGCATGTGATATTTTTGGATGAATACAGTGGATGAAACTTAAGCCTGCACTGAGCAGGGGGAGGGGCGCGCTAGAGGAGAGCACCATCTGTGCCCATGGTGGTGAACACCATCGTGGAGACTTCATTTGGGGTCTCTTTTTG